TTGCGCTGCCGCTGCTGCTATCGACGGCTCCGTGTTGCTCTAGTCACCGTGCTCGACGTTCCTAGAACAGTTCCATAGCCTGTGTTTCAGCGTTTCGGGCTCAGAGTTGCATCTAGGGCAGAGAGCTCTGGAACCTCGTATCCCCTCTCCTTGCAGCGGGCCCGCGGCCGCTGGTCGCCAGCGACGACGGGCACGCTGAGCGCCGGCTGGTCGAGCCACCCTTTGCGCTCGAACCTCCTCTGCTCCCCGACGATGGGCCACCGGGCGCCGCCCTCCTCCAGGTTCTCGCCGTCCTGGACTGTGCTGTGAGGAGAGGTGGTCCCCACTCGATGGGGGTCAAGCAGAGGTCGAGCGTCATGCCTGGTCGCCGTCGTCCACAGGTCACGCCTCAGGTCCGCCTCGAAGTCGGCCAGCAGCTCCTGGAAGCAGCCCGCCTCGGTGAAGGTCCCATCCTCCGACGACGGCAGCTCCCACAACTCCATGCCTTCTGGCCCAGGTCGATGCCAGCGCGTAGCTGTAGTGGGTATCCATCCTGCATCCATCAGCGTGGCTATGAGGGCTCCTGTGGGACCTCGTGCCGCGCGTCACTTAGCTTGTCCCAACCGCTGCAGTTTGGCCTTAATGCGCGGCCACGCCTTCTCAACCCTCTTGTGAGTGTGAGCGTGTCTTTGCCACATACCCGCCCATTCTCGCAGCGAGGTGTCCTTCTCCCTTGGCGTGGTGTCCATCGCTTACCGCGCAGTCAGCAATTTCTTAGCGACGTGCGGCCGAAGTGCTGCGGCTTGCGAGGCCGAGAGTTACTCGTGAGCTAGGGTTGTTCTATCGCCCGCACAACAACAATTCTCGCAGCACTCCAAGACGTAGATCCACCGCTGGGTCCCTGAGGCGCAACTCCATGCCCAGGGTCGTGGTAAGACATCTGCCACCTGCAGCGCCTCCCGATACCTTCCCAACCTGGCGCCCGATCATGGTGATCTCGTGTTTCGACATGCCGAAACCGCCTGCGGAAAGGGCTCCTGCGTTGTAGAGCCCCTTGGACTCCTTCTTGAGTGCTGCAATCCTTCGAACTTTGAGCATCTTTGCATACCTTCGCCGTGCTTTGACTTGCCCCTGCTTGCTCTTCGTGGCGACTCTCTTACGTCAGCCTGAGGTGTCCAATCCCAGGTCCACGGCCGCCCCACCAGCTCTAGCCGGTATGCCCAACCGTCGGAGTCGCCTGGCCACCTCCTTCACCGCCTTCATGTCGGAGCCGATCACCGTGGTCTTGGCCGAGACGCCTGGCATCGCTCGGACGTGTGCGTTTTTTCCTCGGCGAGGACCATCGAGAAGCATCCTTGACCATTTGCCGAAAAACCACGAACGAAACCGAAAAAAACACAGGAAATGGACGTCCGAGCGATGGCCAGGACGGTCATCCTCTGCCGTGCCAGCTCCGTGCACGCCTGTGAGGTTTACCTGCACCACCTGGTCGCTCACCATGCGCATGCTGCCTTCGCGCCTCACCACCGGGTCACCACGGACGTCCACAGCCGAACCATCGGTGATCTTCTGTGGGCGACCTCCCGAGTAGTAGTAGTAGTAGTAGCAGTAGTAGTAGTAGTAGTAGTAGTAGTAGTAGTAGTAGTAGTAGTAGTAGTCGTAGTAGTAGTAGTAGTAGTAGTAGTAGTCGTAGTAGTAGTAGTAGTCGTAGTCGTAGTCGTAGTCGTAGTCGTAGTCGTAGTCGTAGTCGTAGTCGTAGTCGTAGTCGTAGTCGTAGTCGTAGTCGTAGTCGTAGTCGTAGTCGTAGTCGTAGTCGTAGTCGTAGTCGTAGTCGTAGTCGTAGTCGTAGTCGTAGTAGTCGTAGTCGTAGTCGTAGTCGTAGTCGTAGTCGTAGTCGTAGTCGTAGTCGTAGTCGTAGTCGTAGTCGTATAGTCGTAGTCGTAGTCGTAGTCGTAGTCGTAGTCGTAGTATAGTCGTAGTCGTAGTTCGTAGTAGTAGTAGTAGTAGTAGTAGTAGTAGTAGTAGTAGTAGTAGTCGTAGTCGTAGTCGTAGTAGTCGTAGTCGTAGTCGTAGTAGTCGTAGTAGTTTTAGTAGTAGTCGTAGTAGTCGTAGTAGTAGCGTAGTAGTAGTTAGTAGTAGTAGTAGTAGTAGTAGTTAGTAGTAGTAGTAGTAGTAGTAGTAGTGGTGGTATAGTAGTAGTAATTAAGTAGTAGTAGTAGTAGTTAGTAGTAGTAGTAGTAGTAGTAGTAGTAGTAGTAGTAGTAGTAGTAGTAGTAGTAGTAGTAGTAGTAGTAGTAGTAGTAGGAGGAGGAGGAGGAGGAGGAGGAGGAGGAGGAGGAAGCGGCGGAGGTGGGGCCTTTTGGGGTCCCTCTCGGAGGCCTGAGGGCCCTCTTGGAACCATCTTGAAGGCCATCGATCAGGCAGGGGGTGATGCCCCAATCGGGGTCTGAAAAATTACACCATGGGCCGCTTTCGGGCAACTTTTGAGGCGGTCTTTTGTGCTCTTGGAGATGTATTTCGCTCCTGCTGGATCCCTTTGGGCGCCGACTTGGGCCCATCTTGGAGCCGCCTTCTGGGCTTCAGAAACGATCAGAACCGACACTGGGAGGAGGCAAACATCATAATGTTTCGAACACTTCGGAAGGAGTTTGATTTCTTGGAAGTTTTCCAGGGGTGCTGGGATGGCACTGCGGGCCGTCTGGGGGCGGTATTGAAGGCTTTTGGGGGGCGTGTTGGAGAAATCTTGAACCAATTTGGCACACTTTGAACGATCTTTGAGGCCCATCTTTGGGCTCACAGGGGGCCTTCTTGGAACCTTCTGGGGCCATCCTTGACGCTCGAACGGCGCGCCAAACGCCCTTGTCTAGGGGGAGGGCGTAGGGGTAGGGGGTAGGGGAAGGCCCCCGCCCCGAAAGGGATGAGGGGAGGGCCGTTGGGACTCTTCTTCGTCATCCCTCCTCGTCCAGTTGACTCGGCGGGTCCCACCTCGGCCTCATTCTCCGTCGTCTCGGGCGTGTTACCCATTGCTTATCGTGTTGGTGATGCCGCGACTGATGTTGCTCGGGGCCTTCGGTTCCCTGGTTGTCTGAAGCAGACTGCCACTCGCATGAGCATCATGCCACCCTGCCGTCCAGCAGCACAATCCGGCATTCAGACGTTGCCCGGGGCTGAGGTTGAACCTGAGCGCGCGCGAAGCGCGCGCGATGGTTCTATATATATAGATATATACATACAACGGCGCACCTGGTCCGGGGGCCCGGGGCCGGGACCCCGACCACAAATGTGAGCCCCGGGGGGCCCGGAGGCTCGTCGGACCGCCGGACGCCGTCCAAGATCGTTCGCAGGCGGCTTCGGAACGCGCTCCGATGGCTCCAGATGCCTTCCAAGACGCCTGTCATGACACCAAGAAGGTCCCAGAAGCCTCCAAGACGCTCCGAGAGGCAGCCCAAGAGAGGCCCAAGAAGCAAAAATCGTGCCATTCCTATGGGAAAACGTATATTTTTCGCATGTTCGCCTCTTGGGCTTTCACCGCGTCCAAGACGGCCCAAGAGGCGCCCAAGACGGTCTACGAGGCCTCCGGGAGCGCTCCAAGGCTGCGCACGAGTGGCCCAGGACGGCCCCAAGACGGCCGAAGAGAGCCCCAAGACGAGTTCGAGAGGGGTCCCAGACGGAGAAAGCCAACCTCGAATTCCGAGCTTCCGGCCCAAGAGGCTCCAGGAGGCGCCAAAATGCCGCCAAGAGGCGCCAAAAGGCTCCCAAAAGCACCCCAAGACGTTCCGAGAGGCACCCCAAGAGAGGTCCAAGAAACAAAAATCGTGCCATTCCTATGGGAAAACGTATATTTTTCGCATGTTCGCATCTTGGGCTTTCACCGCGTCCAAGACGGCCCAAGAGGCCTCCAAGACGGCCTAGGAGGCCTCCGGGAGCGCTCCAAGGCTGCGCACGAGTGGCTCAGGACGGCCCCAAGACGGCCCAAGAGAACACCAAGACGACTTCGAGAGGGGTCCCAGAAGGAGAAAGCCATTCTCGAATTCCGAGTTTCCGGCCCAACATATCCCAGGAGGCGCCAAAACGCCGCCCAGAGGCGCCAAATGACTTCCAAAATCAGCCCAAGACGTTCCGAGAGGCACCCCAAGAGAGGTCCAAGAAACAAACATCGTGCCATTCCCAGGGGAAAACGTATATTTTCGCATGTTCGCATCTTGGGCTTTCACCGCGTCCAAGACGGCCCAAGAGGCCTCCAAGACCGCCCCAAGACGGCCCAAGAAGCTTCCAAGAGGGCCCCAGGACAGCCCAAGAGGGCCCCAAGACGGCCCAAGAGGCGCCCAAGATGGCCCAAGAGGGCCCCAAGACGGGCCCAAGAGGGGGCCCAGAGGGGGACCACGAACCGCAAGCTCGAGCCTTCCGCCCCAAGAGGCCGCCAGGAGGCCCCAAGGAGGCCCCTCAAGAGGCCCCAGGAGACCCCCAAGAGGCCCAAAGGAGGCCCCGAGAAGCCCCAAATCGGCCCCCAAAATGCTTCGAACCTGCTTCCAGGAGGCCCCCGACAGGTTCAGAGGCTCCCGAGAAGCTACGTCAAACTCCCAGCGAGCGGCCGGACGAGGCCCCCCACAAAATCACAAGAGGGTTCCAGTATTTGTATCCTTCAGCGCTCTCTGGCCTTCTTCCCCCTGCCCCCTTCCCTGCGACTTTCGTTGACTCAAGCTCGCCTCCTAGCTAGAACCTAAGCGCGCGACCCCTTCCGGGGCATCCTCCACCTCGCTCACATCTGGTGTACGCTCCCGGTACCGCGCTTCCCAGCCTCCTGAGGAGCTCCCCAAATGCCCAAAGACAGCCCAAGACGACCCCACGAAGCCCCCAGAACGTAAAAGAAAGGCCCAAGACGCTCCCAAGCAACCCAGGATAGGTTTCGGGCGGCTCTCCAGGCTCCCAGGAGGCCTCCAAGAGACCTCAAGAGAGCTCCGAGAGGCCTCCCGAGAGCGCCCAGAGAACCTAAAATCGTTAATTTTCAAAGTTTGTTTCAGGGTTGTTGGCCTTCTCACCATTTCATGTTTCCAACGCTCCAAGACGGCCGAAGGGGCCCCGAAGACCACTCAAGACGCCCCCAATCCGTACCCATTTTTGCTCAAGCCAGTCTGCCTCAAATCTGGCTGAAGCCACCGATCGCCGAGCGAGAGCTACACATCCTATTCATCATACTGAACACTTGGAACGTCTGAGCGCAGTGACTCTGTACCGGTGCAATGAAATCCATTTGGTTGATGGCTGGATCTTTCTTGTCGTCGTTAGTGGGAGGCGCCGCGATGAGCATCACATCCATGAGTCAGGACGCATCCAACACCTATGAAGCTGTGAACTCGACAAACCAAGCCTTGGCACCAACCTCCTGGAAGACAATCTACGGTGGGATTGCTAGTGTGGGCTGCTCTTGCACAGTGTCTATGTACGAACACTACCTGTCGTCTGGGTACGGGTGCGAGGGTTCCAACACTGGCGCTGTCATTTCGTACAGCACTGTTGGCGCATGGATCAACGTCATGTCTGGGATATCGTCTCTCGTCCTCAACGGCTCCTGCACGATGATCACTAACGTGAACCTAGATTACACGTACACGCCAGGCGCTTATTGCTACCCTTTGCCGACTGGGAACGATAACATCGGATCCGTACTCCTGAGTTGCGCTGGCACTCCGTCCCCGACGCCCTACCCGACGGCCTTTCCGACGCCAAGCCCGACGCCAAGCCTGACGCCCTATCCGACGCCCAACCCGACGGCCTTTCCGACGCCCTTCCCGACGCCCAGCCCGACGCCCAGCCCGACGCCCAGTGCGGGCGGAGTCGGCGGAAGCGTTTCTGCTACAGGAGATCCCCATCTGCAAAACGTTCTTGGCCAGCGGTTCGACTTGCTGAAGCCGGGCAAGCATGTCCTGATAAGCATCCCCCGTGGAAGGCATAAGAACGCATTGCTGCGTGTGGAGGCCGATGCGCGTCAACTGGGTGGACAATGCGCAGACATGTATTTCCAAGAGTTGAATGTCACAGGGGAGTGGGTGGAGGCGACAGGGTCTAGCGGTCTCAATTTCAAAGCTCAGGGAGTGCATGATGAGCAGCCGAAGTGGTTCAAGTTTGGGATGGTGCAGGTTAAAGTTGCCCATGGGCGCACTCTGAACGGACACTGGTATCTGAACTTCTACGTCAAGCATCTTGGATATTCTGGCTATGCTGTCGGAGGATTACTAGGAGAAGATGACCACACTGAGGCAGCGATGCCCTCGAAGGCTTGCGTTCACCACACGTCCCTGTTTATGGTGCTGCCCGATTCGTCTCAAAGCGCACCCGTCTTCTCAGTTGCCGAGGCGAGTTTCGCTTGATGACCCGTGCGTGGCACGAGGTCCCAGCGTAATTATAATATACGGCCAGTGCCGCCGTCCCTGGAAGAAGACCTCCATGATGAAGGTGACAGCCTGAGTTGTTCGGCCCAAGGCCGCCGGGCTGGGCAGGGGAGGGGGTGTATATTTGGCACAAGCGTTCCAGTCTTGACGTTTGCATGTGTGGTTCGATCAGCGACAAGCGTTCGAACATTCGCTTCCCGTTCTTCTCAGGTCAGGTTTTAAGGTAGGGCGGTCTGGAGCGCAACAGGCCTACTGCGTTGTTGCACCCTGTTATACCCTTTTGCCTTCAAGCGTGACGTCGCCCGTCATACAGAGCGCAGAAAAAGGACGCCCAAAAGGCCCTCAAGTCGGCCCCAAGACGGGCCAAGACGGCCCCGAGACTGCCGAAGAGGCTCCCAGGACGGCTCCAGACCACCCCAGAACAGGCCCAAAATGAGCCCAAGAGCGGGAGCAGGAGGCCGCCGGAGAGCTATGAGAGGACTTCGGGATCCCCCAGAGGCCTCCAACACACCCCAAACCCCTGAGAGGCTCCCAAAAAAGCGCCGACGAGGCCCCCCAAACAGCCCAATACAGCTTCGAGAGTCGTCTCGAGAGAGCCCGAAGAGGGTAAAAACGTTGCTTTCCAGTGGTTTTAGTCGACGCTTTTCGCCTTCTCACGTTTTCGCGCTTCCAACGCTCCAAGACCGAGTAATTCGAAACAAAAGCAATTCCAGAGATTCCTTTTTTTCCCAACCATCCTGTGGTGTTGGGTCCTCGTTTTGAAGAGACGGTCCCCGCGTTCTCCTCCTCTCGTGCCCCTCCCCTCCTCCCTACCGTCCGCATGCGTCCCGCAAGCCCAGTACAACGTTTCGTGGCCCCATAGGGAGCCCCACCGAAGGTCCCAGTGCTACCGTCCGCATGCGTCCCGCACACCCAGTACAGCGTTTCGTGGCCCCATAGGGAGCTCCACCGAAGGTCCCAGTGCTACCGTCCGCATGCGTACCGCACACCCAGTACAGCGTTTCGTGGCACTCCTCCCCCTCCTCCCTGCGTTTCACCCACCCAGTAGACCGTTTCGTGGCCCCATAGGGAGCCTCACCGAAGGTCCCAGTGCTACCGTCCGCATGCGTCCCGTTCACCCAGTACAGTGTTTCGTGGCCCCATAGGGAGCCCCACCGAAGGTCCCAGTGCTACCGTCCGCATGCGTCCCGTACACCCAGTACAGCGTTTCGTGGCCCCATAGGGAGCTCCACCGAAGGTCCCAGTGCTACCGTCCGCATGCGCCCCGCACACTCAGTATACCGTTTCGTGGCCCTTCTCCCTCTCCTCCCTGCGTTTCACCCACCCAGTAGAGCGTTTCGTGGCCCCATAGGGAGCCTCACCGAAGGTCCCAGTGCTACCGTCCGCATGCGTCCCGCACTCCCAGTACAGCGTTTCGTGGCCCACAGGGAGCCCCACAGAAGGTCCCAGCGCTACCGTCCGCATGCGTCCCGCACACCCAGTACAGCGTTTCGTGGCCCTCCTCCCCCTCCTCCCTGCGTTTCACCCACTCAGTACAGTGTTTCGTGGCCCCATAGGGAGCTCCACCGAAGGCCCCAGTGCCCCCGTCCGCATGCGTCCCGGAAGCCCACTTGGGCATTTTTACTCACCCAGTGCAGCGTTTCGTGGCCCCTTAGGGGGTTCCACCCAAGCCCCCAGTGCCACCGTCCGTATGCGTCCGGGAAATGTAATTTGGAATTTTCACCCGC